TGTTTTGTTCTTGTATACACACTGAGAAAAGTCTCCTGCTCCTTGGGAGCCCTGTGGTCCAGTTGGACCTTGAGCTCCCTGTGAGCCGTTAAGCCCCTGGGGTCCCATGATGCCTCGGGGTCCCTGAGTTCCATTGAATCCTGGTGGTCCAGCAGGACCTATCGGTCCCTGAGAGCCGTTGAAACCGGGAGGACCGACTGGGCCCTGGAGCTTTCTAACGTTGTTTACCTGCAAGAGAGATGGTTAGAACATGTAATAGGTCTGTAGGCAATAGTACCTCAGGTTCAGTTGTTCTAGGTCAGGGTAGAAAACGCTACTCACCGGATAAATCGCTATTTATTAGACAATTGTTGGTGAAATAAAGTACGCTATCCGGCATTGGATAGTACATGTAAATCATCTATTGGATAGTGTTATCCGCTCTTCAAACAACTGGGCCCAGCTGTTTGTATATACTGAAGGATGGCTACTTCAATTTGATTTTACCTTTATGGAGAGTGTCCTGTTAATTTCCTCTAAAACTGCCCTCAGAGCGTTGTCTTCTTGTTCGAGACGGTCCGTTGAATTTTTAAGCTGTTTGAGAAAACAACAAAACGCGATTTTTAAATTGTGACGAGTATAAGCTTACAAAGATCTTTGTCATATCCTGCCGAGTCAAAACAGTTATATAATTTCTTTCCACAGGGCGGCTGTAAACAGGCTACCCACATCCTGTACTATAATTATCATAGTCCTCTTCTTGCTAAAACCTGGTCGGTCAAACACCACCTGAGGCCGAAGTGTCATGGCTGAGCTAAGTGAGGTTAAAAATTACATGAAGCGTGCCAAACATGCTGCGCAAGATAGGGCTAAATGGACTGTTAAATGGACTTTTAAAAATGCGAGGTCGTGGAATCCATAGATTGAATTTAATTTCATTAATGTTGGGCACTTGAGGCCTAACCCCTTTGCCAACGTTAGAAAAACGTAGTACAGGGTGTCAGGGTATTGTATGGAAAACCTAGTAAATTTCCCACACTAACAAAATTATCAGGACGTGACGCCTTCAGAATCATTGTTCATTCGTTTTGAATAGAATACCATGTTAACCAGGTTTGATTGAATGATTTTGGGTTGGTTTTATGAAAGACATTATAGAAAACTGAGAATATTCTATACCCTCACTGGGGCCTCGAGTTAGATCAGCTTTGGAGTTCTTCAAATATTTCTATCCTTTTTTGCTCTTTGTTATCTTTCACAGAGAAAGGATTCTAATCTGTTCACCATCCGAAATTCACTTTTACTACCCTTTTTAACTAATAACTCTCCAACTATCTCCTTTTCAGTTCAAAACTTAAGCAATAGAACACTTTTTCCGTGTTTACATAGCCTCATCTAAACACGAGGAGGGTTTGGATAATTCGAGACAGTTATGCAAACTCGAGAAGTAGTCGAGGGTTTGCATAACTTTCGAGAATTCTTCCAACCCCGGAGTGTTTAGATAACGCTATGTAAACACGGAAAAAGTGTTCTGTTGCTTCTATAAAATAATTCTCAAAAATACGCACGAGGCTAAAACGTCACAACCGTGTTTACATACTCTCATCTAAACACACCGGTTTTATTGACCAATGAGAGCGCGCGTAGTAGCTCAGTTATTTTATAAAGTGTACCATATCACTTTATCTCCTTTTTCGTGTTGGAGATGGTCAAAGATAGCTCACTCTTTGTCATGTTTGCGTTTTGTTCTAAACTTGCCAGACTATTAACAACCTGTTGAGACAGATATGGGAGACAGTCTTTGAAATCGACGGCTTTTTATCCAAGAAAGAAAAAGTTGCAGAACAAGGAAATAACTTATACGTATTGTAGCAAATAATACTTTAGGGAAATCGCGCCCAAAATATTTCCATGGACAGGTTTTTTAAAATCTTAT